AAGTAAATATAAAATGCTACATGGACATCATGTCATCGCCACATATATGAGTTTTAATAACCAAAATGTCATGATGCGATCTTGTTAAACGACTATCCACCTTTTCCTTCTAACGTTAGTTTTTTTGACCTATTTTTTAAAAGTTCACGGACCTCCAATGAAAAAAAAATTAGTGACCACATAATATCAAAACTAAAAGTTCACTAGACAAGAAAACAACAACATTAATTTATTTTATATATACCAATCAAAACATATATGATAAATGCAAGAGTTAAAAGCCAAAATAGATAATCAAATATGTTTATAGCATCCTAAATTTTCATTTAGAAGTAAGTGTAATTTATGTGAATTACTACTTTGAAATTTATGAAACAATATATGTAACGCCCTGTTCTGAATTGACTCCTAGACTGAGGCTGTGGCCTGAAGGCCGGTCATCATAAGGGTTATGGATTTTGAAAAGGGTAAGATCTAGGCCATTTTGGGTGCGAGTGATGTATTAGAAGCGATCCGGATGTTCGGTTTGTGTTTTGGAGCCTAGGGGGTATTTCGGTAAAGTGTCAGATTGGGCTTTTGTGGAAAAATGGACTTTTGTTCGAAAGGTCTTGAGGAAGATATGATTTGATAGAAGTGTAGGACTTCTCGTTACCTTTTCGTGGATATAAGGATCGTCGAAAACGGATTTATAACGAAGAAGTTATGGCCTTCAGAAGTTTAGTGGTTTCAGGCTTAGCCGAGTACGTTGGGCGTACACAAAGAGTACGCTGGGCGTACTAGTGAAGAAGGCAGTACGCTAGGCGTACTTTGGAGTACGCTAGGCGTACTGACCAGGATGGTTGCGAATGTTCTTCAGAGTACGCTGGGCGTACGCCAATCAGACCTGAACCCTATTTTAGGGTCTTGGACCCTATTTAAGCTCCTTATTTCATAACCTAACCCTAATATCTTCAGCCTCCACCCTCTAAACCCTAGAAATCGACCATTAGCCCTCATTTGAGTGATTTTGGAGCTTGGATGGCCATTAGAGGAGTATTTTGGTGTTTTTGAAGAAGAAGGTGTTTAGAGAAGAAGCAAGAGATTGAAGAGAGCTTGTAGATCCAGAGGTTTTACATCATTTCCAGCCTATTGAAGGTATAAAGTTTTCATCTTGGTTCTTTTACATCATAGATCTAGGTTCTCATGGATATTGTCCCTTTTTGATTTCAAGAATGGATTTTTATGGTGCAAATTCGTTTTTGGACTTAGGGTTGCCACCCATGAAGCTATTTGAGTCCCTTAAGCAATAAAGTTGCAATCTTTAAGGCCCATTTGCATCCATGCAAGAAATCTAGCCATTTCCATGACGATAGTTGTTATTTTTACAAGTTTGATCTCATTTGGTGAGGTGCAAGCCACCAAGTGATCAACTTTATGGGTTAAGAAGGGTTATTGGACTCAGATCTGTAGTTTGGATGTAGTGTCTTAAGGGATTAAGCAGTTTTGAAGAAAATGGCTTATCAGGGGAGTACGCTGGGCGTACACGCCAATACGCGCAGTGTACAAGCCATGCAAGCTGTACGCGCAGCGTACAGAAGCGTACACTCAACGTACACTCAGACTGTGGACTTTACGTTATTGGGCCTCGGTTTGGGGCCAGGATTTGGGTTAGCAAATGTTGGGCCGTTTGAGGAGTTGGGCCCAATTTAGAAAATTGGGCCATTGGAGGACTTTAATGGGCCTTAGTGAGTTTGGGAAGACTAGAAAGGATGATTGTCCTTGTGATATTCATCTTTGTGTGCTACTACCTGTGATGTTTATGTGCCAGTATGATATGTTTTATGTGGTAGTGGTAGTAGGAGGGGAATAGTCCCCAAGTTCGGTTGTTAGGACCGAGGGGTAGGTCGGACACCCCGGTATGTATGACAGGGGTAGGTTGAGCACCCCGGTATGCTCAGCAGGGTAGGTCGGGCACCCAGATATGCCTGACATTATGTTATAGTATGGTATGTGGTATGATGGGGGAACTCACTAAGCTTCGTGCTTACATTTTTCAGTTTTGTTTCAGGTACCTCCTCATCGAAGGGGAAGGAGCCGGCGCAGTAGCGGCACATCACACTCATGCATGATTTCCGCATTGAGTTTATGGGATTTGTACTCTGATCATTATTATTATTATTATTACTATCTGATGATATGCTTTTGAGACACGACGTAATGGTTTTATGAATTAATATAATGTTAGCAATGTTTGACAAATGATTTTATATGATTACTTAATTAAAAATGAAATTTTTAGCCTCGAAAATTGGGATGTTATAATATATAATTAAAGATATATAATTTAAAATTAGGATGTCAATAAAGAAAATATGAAAGAATGTTATTCACACACTTTGTATTAAGTTTTGATGTATGTACGATTTAAATATCTTTGTACAAGCTTTACAACGGGTTAGATTCATGCATGAACATGATTGAATGTAGGGGCGGAGCCATGATTCTAGGATAAATGAGGCTTATACAAAAAATAGTTGAATAACATAATTGAGTCTTGATCACCCTCCTTCTCAACACCCCACCTCGAATCATGTTGTCGCTTCCAATTTCACAATCGAACTCATCAGTAAATCCCTATCTCCACTCTTGATCACATCTCTCATAATCAGGTAGTCCATATAGACTATTTCACTTCATCTATAATCTAATCAACGTGGATCATGTTTTAAGGTGTTAAAACTTTGTTACACTTGTAGGTTTTTATCCATATTTTTATTTTTTGCATTTATGGAGGATTGGTTTCATAAAAAGTGGTCAAAAAGAAGATTCATACAGAATGCATATTTCATTAGGGTTATAGTATACATTTAAGTTGACATGGATGGCAATGTATGTTATATTAGCAACGATCATAACCATGATCTTCAAATTTATTAATAGTTTTTTGAGACTTGTTGGCATTGTAGCACATTCTATTTCAACTTTTTCCATTAAATATCTTAAAGTTATGTTTTTAAGTCTTATTAGGACTGTTAGCTTACAAGGTAAAGTAGAATTAGAATGGTAAAATGCAAATGTACAATTGTGTTGGCATTATTCAAATAAATTATGTGCATTGATAAAAAACATATTGAATTTGATAAACAACATTACTTGTTGCAATAAGCGAAACACACAATATAACAGATTCACAAGAATTAAATACTCACACAAGCAATCAAATTATATATATTCATAGTCAAATATGTGGTTCCAGCTGATATTCATGCGTACAATATTTGTATTTTGATTTTGGATTACGTTTATGAAGATAGAGGTCGAGTAGTGGGATCGATGGTGGAGAATAAGAGACATGTATGGTGTAAAGTGGGAAGGGAAAATAGGGATTTACTGTGTGGCGTTGATGGTGGAAGAGACACAATGAACATATATGATTGGGCGTTGATGTTGAAGATGAGAGGTGGGGTAAAGATGGGGCCAATTCTTTAATAAAGATTAATATAAGTTTTAATTGAGTAAAAAAAATAGTCCCGTTGTAAATATATGTAAAAATTAAGAAGTAGTTTAGTAATAAATTAGATTTGACATTTAAAAAAAAAAGAGTAAAAAAATAGAATAAATGAAATAAGGATAGAAACAATTTTTTGTCATTTTATGTGTGATAGGACCAAAATTAGAGACCAAAGATACCATCGGTGTAATAAAAATCAAAGTTAGACCCAATTTGTAATTTCTACTATATCATAGGGACCATTTTGTAATTTTGTCTAAAATAAACGAAATGAAATATGACCCTGATAATTAAAAAAAAATATTGATCGAGACATAAAAAGAATTTAGCTTCATGGATACGAGAAAATTGTTACCAACACCTTTTCTTTTTTGCCTTATATACAAACTTTGGGAGACGTTCTCATCACTCGTTTTATAAATCACTATATATGGTAAAGAGTTACCTCACTGTGGAAGTAACTAGTTGATCCCTCCCTTTAATATGACCTACTATAATACCCTAAATCTTACTATTAAATACAAATTACACTATGTATACCTTTTGTATCAATTTTCTTTTAAAAGTACGTAACGCAACCAATAAAGATGCCACTGAGTTTTTGATATAACTCGTACTCATTTACAAGCTTCCGGTTGTCAAATATTCCTTAGTTTTTATTCTTATTTTGATTCACACCATACAAAAAATGAGATGCAATGCCCAATCAAAATTTAACATTATCCATAAATTTAGATTATTGTTTTGTGGCACATTGGTTTTGATCTATTTTGGTATAAGTTTGCCTTTTGTTAATAGAGATGTTTTTTCTTTAAATCATGCACGAAAAAAGTAATTGTATGCACGAAAAAAGTAATTGTATGTATAATGACGTTTTCTAATATATATACACAACTATTTGTTTATTTTATGAAGTGAATGAGCTATTTAAATATGAATAAATGTCTAAAGACCTATGAACCTAATCCGTTAAAATATTGGAATTGTTAAACATTAAATGGTTTAAATTTTATCAAAATTTCATATATATATATATATATATATATATATATATATATATATATATATATATATATATATATATATCGTTTTCTTTTATTGGCTTCTTAACCAGCATACCAATTGTAAATTTTGAACCCCAAAATAGAAAACCTTTCACACAAAAGAATGTGATTGAATTACTTTTATGTTTTCGAGGTAATGTATTCCATGTTATTGAAAATACCCTTAAAATACATTTAGGTAGTAATAAAGTGAAATATTTCTTTTCTAATAATGTCAAAGAAAACCCTTTGAGGTCAAAATGGTAATTAACTTATTATTCAAACAATTTATAAAGAAATCAACAAACATAGATAAATGGTAAAATTTGAAGGAAATCCCAAATATTGTACCAAAATAGTTAGACGTGTCCTGGCCCTATTCACCTTTTATCACCGTCAAAACCGGTCAATCCGGTAGTCAGTCAATAGTTGCCTCCATTCCATGGGCATGGTGGACACAATTTGAAGGTTTAACGCCAACCTCCTCTCTTCTTTGAAAAACATCAGCCAACTCTGATTCTTGGTCTTCCTTCATCATTTTTCGTTGATCTTCCTTGCCGTTTTCTTCTCTTTTCTTCTTCTTAGTGAGTGCCGTCGTTTCAGATACGCTTTTTAGTATCACTTTCTACACTCTCCACACCCTCAAGAACGCAGGTATTTCTCCATCTGCGCAGTATATTCATATATTTCGCAATGTGTTTCTCAGTTTTGGTGATCTGACAGCTACCTTTTGTTGATCGGAGCTATCGGCCAAAGGTTCCGCCGTTAAAGCAGGTAAGGGTTTTCTCCCTCTGCTCCCTGAGAAAATTTTCAGCAGATGATTTAGTGTTTGTGAAAAGTACGATCATGTTCGTCGTATTTTTTTGAACATTTTCATTTTGGAACTAAATCGAACGTACGGCTTCGATTCCCGGTTATCGATGCCTAAGTTTGCTTCTCTGCCTTTTTCTTTTAGTTTCTTGTATGAACATTTTCAGGAGATTGACAATATTTGATGCGATTCAAGTTATGTAGACGATATTTCATATCTGTGTGTGATCTGTGAAGATGGGAATTTTTTGTGAAGTCATAGTTGATAGACGATACTAGTACTGTTGTAGTTAACGATCCTTTATTCCAGTATGTGTAGAATTAGTGTGCAATTGCGAATGAAGGTTTTGATTTGAATCTGTAATTTCCCAAAACCTTAAGGTGAAAGAGACAATACACAAAGAATGTAAATACATTTATACATTTATCTTGCAGAATGGGAGGCAAGAAGCAAAATAAGAAGAAAATTCTTGAGAAGGATATGAAAGAATCTTCCACATTTTCAAATTACAGCGTACCTGCAAGAAATCTTAGAAAAGATGATCTCGGTTCTGTAATATTTGGTTGCAAACACAATACAATCAACGAATGCCTTACAAATCACTTGTTTGGTTAGTTCATTATTTTCCACAAATCTCTTTCCCTTCTTTCTTTCTACATTCAGATCTTAAACTTTATATTTTGGTCATGAAGAACTCTGATAATGTAAATGTCTGTCACCTTTGTTTTACAGGTTTGCCAGCCACCCATTTCTCATACATTAAGAACATAAAGGAAGGGCTTGTTCTATTTCTGTTCAACTATAGTGATCGAAAGCTTCATGGAGTATTTGAAGCTGCAAGTCCTGGTTCAATGAACATCAATAGGTATGCCTGGGTTGCTGATACAGAGGACTGTGGATACACACATTATCCAGCACAGGTATCATTTTCCCTTTTGTGTGAATGACTCAACACAAAGTGTCTGAATACATACATACTGATACTTAGCTTATGTGATTTGTATTTCAGGTCCGGGTTCGTGTAAGACAACAATGTCATCCGTTGTCTGAAAACCAGTTCAAGCCAGTTATAGCTGATAACTACTATGAAGATAAACACTTCTACTTTGAGTTGGATCATCATCAAACAAAGAAGCTCATGTCACTATTTACACCATCCCCTGTGAATCCTTCTTCTTCTTCACAGATTGCTACACGGAGTAGCTTTCCGTTAAGACAGCCAAACAGTTTTAAGAACATGAATCAGACGTTGGGATGTTCTTATGCTTCTGTTGTTGGCCAACATGCTACTCCCATCACTACCAGTTCAACATGGAGTGCACTGTTTAAAGCTGAAGCAAGTTTTGAAAACGAAGATGAGAGTGATAATGTGGTTGCAAGAAACCATGATGAGTGGCCAAAGGATGAAGATACGAGTAATGTTATGCATGCAAACACTTGGGATGATGATGATGTCGGGTGTGTTCAGGCACAGGAATCAGATTGGGGTTATGAAGGAAACACCATTAAAGACGAGTGGCAAAATGAAGAAGATGAAGTGTTGTCAACAAACAGTTGGGAAGAAACCAAGCTCACTCACACTGCCATAGATAAAGCTCAATGTGTCCAGACAACTTTTTGTATCAGAGTTGAATCCTCCTGATACAAACACCAACAAAGACGAGTTGCCATCTTCTTCATCTCAATTGTTAGATGACAATCCTGATCACCAGCTGCCATTGTGTAGTAAGGAAAGTGAGACCAATGTAGAAGAAAATGATGTAAAAGACAATTCTTTAGTGCCAGTTACAGCTTTAGAGATTTCTTCTACTAATCTTGAGTCATTGGTTGCCAAGGTAAAACAATATTTCACATTTTGTATGTTTTTTTGGTTTGATATGTTATAGTCCAATCAAGCTTATATTTTTATTTCATAAAAGTTGTTGAAAGAAGTTGAAGAGCTGAAGGGATCACATTTGAAGCAAGTCACAAACATCAATCTGCTAGAACAAGAACTGGTACATAACAATTATAAAAAATTTCTTATGTATTTTATTTGTTGTATTTCTATTACTTTATGTGATTTGGATGTTCAGGATAAATCAAAACTAGAAACCCAGCAGCTTCAAAACAGGATTGATGTTTTGGAGTCTGGATGTGTTGAAGAAAGCAAGAATGATTCAAAGATTCTGAAGTCGGTGATGATTGTTGGGGGATTTGATGGTTGTTTATGGTTGCCATGTCTGGATTCATATTACCCATGTTATGATATTAGAATCCCACTCACCCAAATGAATGTTGTAAAGAAATACGGATCAGCAGCAACCATGAATGGTGAACTTTACCATTTTGGTGGCATAAAACCTATCGGTAATTATTCTAATAAATAATAACCACTTTAATTAAAATTTATTTATAACCACCATCATGTAATAATAATTTTTAATTTTTTTTGGGTATAGTTGAATCATACAGCCCAACAACTAATCAGTGGGTTTTAAGACCACCTTTGTATTGGAGCAACATCCATGTTGCTGGTGCTTCAGTCAACAACAAACTCTTTGTGGCTGGTGGTAACAAAGAAAGCCATTTTTCATCTGAGGTGGAATATCTGGATCTCAACTATGGGAAATGGCTCCCTGTTCATTCCATGAATAGCAAGGTACTGTTACTGTTACATTCATATTTACAAAAACGCCACTTCCAAGTTTTATTTTCAAATTTGTTGTTTTTTCTAGAGGTCTGGTCCAGCAGCAGCAGAACTCAACAACGCTCTGTATGTTACTGGTGGGTTTGATGGACAATCTTATTCAAGGTAACAAACAACATATAATTAATTAATTAATTAATTAATTAAGAGGATGCTAATTGCTAAAACTGTTTGTGTGATGTAGTTCTGTTGAAATGCTTGATCCACGTGAAGAAAAGTGGTCAACACTTGCGGATATGAACAAAGGGAAGGGTTGCCATTCCATGGTTGTACTCAATGAGAAACTGTAAGTTTATAACTTGGTGTTCTCTTTTGAATTGCTTATAAATTCATGTAACCTTTTGTTGATATATGTAATATAGATACACTGTTGGAGGATATGATGGAGAAAAGTATTTACAGACAGTTGAATGTTTTGATACTCGAATGGGTTGTTGGGTGGAGTGTGCACCAATGAATGTTTGTAGAGGCAATTTTGGTGCTTTTGTGATTGGAGAAAAACTGTACGCAATTGGAGGATCCACGGACAACAATAAAGTTTTGGAGATTGTATGTATATGTAAACATGACTTTGACTCTTTTCCTAACTGTTTTTGTCATTTGTGTTTTGACCATTTTTTTGGCAGGTGGAATGTTATAAAGAAGGAAGTGGTTGGGAGGTTTGTGATGTAAAAGCAATTGGGAAAAGAAGTCACTTTTCAGCGATTGTGATGTGAATTTGAGTTTTATGAACAAAATAGTGAGATATTAGAGATATAGTGTTGACTTTTTTGTTCCTACTTCACACCTGTCTGATCTGGATTGGTTAGTGATCGTTTTGCATGGCTACCTGTACATCGGGAAAAACTATGAAAATGTATGTTTTGTTTTATTAATTATTATTATACAGCCATTGATATCACACTATTATTCGTGTACATAATAATTTACATGGAACAATTCCTGAATTTAGAAGTCAGATTCAAGCTAGAGTAAGTTGGAGAATTTCACTGAACTCCAACCTTCTAGTTTCAGTATAGAAAGTGTTGTATTTGTTAGGCCAATAAGTCAACCAAATCGAGCCTTTAGCTTCCCACTCCATCGTTTCCCCAATCGCGCCTCTTCCCACCTTCCACAACACACTTTCTCCGTACTCATCGCCGGCGAAAATAACTCCTCCTTGCCTGGTAAACGGCCGATAAGCGCTGGAATACCGGTTTCTGAACCATGCTTTTGGTTGAAGCATCGCGATCTTTGAAGGCTTCGATGAGAAAACTTCTCGTCCATTAACGCTGTCGTGAAGGAACCAGTTGAAAGTGCCGCTGTAGCCGTAGACTGATTGCTCGAATTTCCATGGCTTGAGGTTGGTGGTGACGGTTTCACCGGCGGAAACGGATATTCCGATGTGAGGATTTGGTGGTTCGAATGAGCCTTCGATGGATCTCTCGACGCCGATTTCTCGTGAAGGGTTCTCAGATGATCGGCTAACGGAAACGCTTAAGACGTTTGTTTGGATGGTGGGTGTGAGATGTAGGGATATGCGTGATGGGAAGTGCTTTTCCTCGATTCCTGCCCCACGCTCTTTTAGGAGCGTGTCGTTCACGAGCCTTATCACGTCACATCTGTTTAATTAAATAATAAATTGAGATAAGTACCATTAGCAAATATGAATCTATTGCTTTTCGTGTTAAAAATTATATATAAAATTATACGGTTGATCCTTGAGCTTTGCCAAAGTTAGCATGTTTGTTCTTGTGGTTATTTCTTGCGGGATTGGTTTTTACCATGTAGATTTACTTTTGTATCCTTTTTAATTTATTTTATAGATTTTTAATCATTTTCAATTAAAAAAGAAAAGAAAATAGAGCCGATCCCACCAACCCCATCCCTCTGTGTTATCAGACTTAGGATTTGATTCGAGTTCAGTTGTGCGATTTCGAGTTCAATTACGGCGGACAATGGTGTTGGCTGCAAAATGGAAGTGATGGGTGGGCTTAGGATTTGGGTTTATGAAATCAAACTAATATTTTAAATTTAAAGGACCTGATTCTTTTATGGCAGGAATAATGGTGGTGGTTGTGGACACAAAGTGATAGTTTGGCTTTAGGGTTGTGGCCTTGTGGGTGACAATTTTCTAATTTTTAAATATTAATTTATATTAAAAAAGAAAAAAGTCATAAAAAGATCAAGTTAGATGTAAGATAATAAGTTTATATTTATTTTTGAAATAAAATAAAATCATAGGTACCAACCATCCCAATAAATTTAATTACAAGGACAGGTGCATTAGTGCATAGACATATTGACAAACAATATAAGCTAATTATGTAATTTTATCCAAATTAAAAGAAATGATTCGATAATTATCTTGATTAAAATCCTATTATCTCTATGAACTCTTTTCCTAAAAGGAACTCAAATGGTGGTGGGGTCAAAAGAATACGTACGAGTCTTGACCACATGCTTACATTTAGTAACGGTGTCCTTTTCTTTCAAGCAATATAAAACCAGTTAAGGTCATTAATATGGGTGTTTAGTCTTTTAAGTATGAAATTTGAGAACTATGTTTGCATGTTGTATTGTCTTGACTTACTATTTATATTTATCTTTATACTTCTTAGAAGTAGTTGAATATATTTATAGATAGTTTATATATATATATAAAACAACATAAATATTTAAAGTATAATACAAAAAGAATCCACAAAAAGGAAGTAAAAGTTCTGGTCCTTTTTAAATCTTTAAGAGGAAATAAGATTAAAAAAACACACCTTAAGTGCTAAACAACTTGATTATCGTCTATATTTTCTTTTATCTATTTATCATA